ATTCCCCCATCTGTATATAAAAGATCAAATTTTGCCCACCACTTCTGCATTACGCTTTATGTTGCCAATAGATCACAAATCATTACCTACTTTTGAGTGGGTTTATGTACATAAAATACATATTCCATTCTAATAAACTTCAACAGCTTTTAGAGATATCTTTCAATAGAATTTAAAATAGGGCTGAAACATTCCTAATGGGTGGTAATTACTTATAAGGCCTCTACAGGTGTCTGTGAGAGTTTATGTATATACAGACACAGAAATACGTAAGCACATACTCATATGAATGTGCATACATGGGCAGCCTAGCCAGTAAGTCACCTTTTAATAGTGTACTTACATCATTTCCACTTCGACATTTTAGCAACATTAAAATGGTGTGTATAATGTACATATACCTAAAGAATTATGAACTTCTGCAAATGCCTGGAGTCAAACTCTTGTCTGAGTCTGTTGAGTCATGTAGCTATATGAATGGGAATAATCCCTAGCATGCCTGGGGACCCTCACAGAAAGGGGCTTTTGTGGTAATAATTGAGGATTCTTCCAGTCTTACCAATCTCCTAGATGTTTTTTTTAAAGTCAAAGTGCTTTCCGAGATATTCCTCCAATCACCTTTACTCCTCATTGCCCTCTTTACCAAAATCAAGTAGAATGTGAAAAAGTTATTACAGAATTTTAATTTTAAACCTCATACTGTCAATCTGGTTAATGCATCTCAGAAATACAAAAGATGGATCAATTTAGCTTAAAACAGTTCATTCAGGTAAAAATTTAGAGGCATTCATGGAAAAATTATACTATGTACTTAAAATGTTCGGCTATAGATTTTGTCATCCACTCTATTTCACATAAAACAGGTTATAAGCGACATTTGGGTAAAGCCTTCAAGGAGGCTTCCAGCTCTGTTGGCAGAGATGGTACAAGGTCACAGCAAATACACTGAGCTCTAATGCCAAACAGTGGTGACTCCATGACTACCATTACACTAAATCTTTACCACATGCATTCCTAACATGTTAATTTCTCAGGTTTAAATATTTTAAAATGTCACACTTCGCTATACTGAAAAAATACTACCATTTAGATTTAAGTCCAGTCAGAAAGTCAAGGCCAAAGCAGTTTCTGAAATGCGTTCATGTTTCCATATAAACATGCCTGGAATAGACACTCCGCGAGCATGTCAAGTACCTTCCCTCACACAATAACATGGTAATGTAGCATTCTCAGTGGGAGGATTCTCCCTTGTTTTGCCAAGTAAGAATAGAAACAACAAGACCAACCTTTTGGGTTTTTTTGCACATCCTACCAACACATCATTCAAGACATATTAAAACCCCTGTAAACTACCAAACTTAAGTTGAGGATGCATCAAGTCAGTACCACCTCCCTCAGTATACAGTTTGTTGAGACCTAGCAACAAAACTGGAGAACTTCTAATATCTTCACCTCATCCTGGCCATTCACGACACAGCTGTTAATCTCTATATTGTAAAGATGTAGTTCTTCATAAAGCCTGGCTCTGAATCACATCACTGAACTTATCAGGTAGAAGATAACCTCCTCCCACCCCTAAAAAGGCAGGAAAAGTGGGGTAGACAGAAGAAAGAAGCAGCACAAATTTCTTGAGCCTGCTTTATCTGAATACATGGGCAGTAGGTAGCTCCATCATTTCTGCCGCCATTCAGAGCTGCACAGATGGTGCAGAAGTGGGGAAAATGGCCCATTATTTTAGTGTTCATTGCCATTTCTCAGAAATCTATTAGCATCAGTGATCTTGACCAGATTCTTGCTAGTTCCCCTCTGTCAACACAGGCAGATACTGCCAAAGGCTAAACATTGCTTTGCATAATCAGGCTCACGTGCTTGATATTAATACACACATTTTCGGGTTATCCACATAGTAATAAGGCCAGATAACAACAACGTCTTCATCATCACTATGATTATAACTTCAGGATGTAAAAATGGTAAAACTGCAGGCTGTAGAATGAAACTGTTCTGGTCTACTTTTGTTTAATTTCTGACATCAGCAGAATTATTTGGCCTCAAAATACTTAAGTAGCTACTTTTAAATAATAACCTGCCCACTATGGTCAAGACTGAATAAAATCCTTGCACATATGTTCATCTTTCATTTCTCCATGATAGAAGATTTAAAAATTCAAGTTTGAGGTCATGCCATTTCACCTACACATTTCAGATGACATTGCAGAGCCTAGACAAACCAGTTTTGCCAATACTCCCAGAAAGATCAACTTCCTATTACACAAGGTAAACCAGAAAGAGGAACTGTCACCAATTCTTTTTTTCAGCTTCGTCACCCTTTTACTGAGGTAAAATTCCTTACACAGGATACACCACAGCCCATTTCTGCAGTGAATTAAATTACACATCCCCCATATATACCCTGGCAGGGAAACTAAGTGCATTCTCAGACATTTTATTAGTGACAGTGAGATCTAATAATGCAATTAACAGAAACTGAAATAAGATGGATTGCTTGGAGGCAAATCAGGCAGCCTAAGCAGTCAACCCATTTATTAGATTTAAAAACAAAACTCAACTAAGTCAGATACTGAGAATAAACACAGTAGTGAGATACATCCATGGAGAATGCAGGCTTGGAATATCACCACAAAATATGTGACCAAAGAGGTTAGTGATGATAAGCTCTCCCATTTCATTACTGTCATAACATTACTGATATTTGCTAAAATAATCCTTTCTAATGTGTATTTGCACTGAAGTAGGATTTAGACACAGTTAATATGTATTGCAATTCAAGGTGTATGTAAGCCAACCAGGAATCCTTCTTTCCCAATGTCTAGTATCTTTCAAGCACAGCCCTAAATTGTAAATAAACGCATGTAAAAATATCAGTCCCTTTGTAAGATACTTCATTTTGAGCACTGCATTTTTTTTGTTTAGTTCCTATCAATTTTTTAGAAAAAATATATCTGAATATTAAACTGAAAAAATCTTCCCCTAACAATTACTGTCTCTTATGTGAATGATTATCTTGATAACCTCAGAGAATTTTTATTGAAAATTGGAAATAGTGCTTTCTAATATTACAGAGTTTTCTGTTTAAAAAGCACAGCTAGGTCTCAAAAAGAATAACATACAATAAAAAGCAGTATAATTGCTTTTCATAACATGACAAACTTCATCTCCTTTGTAAAACATGCTGCTTACTACACTACTAATGGTACATTCCAATACTGTATGAAAAGTTTTCATTTCCATTTATAATCTTTTCCCAAAAAAGAAGACCTGAGTTCAAATTAACACTCTAATTAAAAAAAAAAGAAAAGCTTATAGCAACTCAGTATACTTTTATCATTAAGCAGCAGTAACCACATCTGGCTTACTACACACTGAGAGCATAAGCAAATTTATTCTGGGTCTAATATGAGAAAAAAATGAGACAATTCAATGACAATGATATTTCTAGAAAATATAATTGCTACTCAAGTTCTTACAAAGCACCTTAAAAAAAGTAATCAGTGGGTTTGGTTTTGCCATTTTAATTATATGTTTATAATAGTTTTAAAGTTCTGTTAAAACCAGCTCTATAAGGAGATCCTTAACTATAAGACATGTGACATTTAGTTGTCAGAATAAGCATCAGACGCTGAATCTAACAAATTCATACAGTAAATCATTATATCCTACAGGGCTTCTGATTTATCTACAGGATTCATCTTATATGAGTGCACTCAAGTTAAATACAGTGTAGACGTTCAGATAAATAAAACAACTTTCAAGGATAGGTTTCCACTATTTCTACTTTGAGTCAAGCTACACTGCAGTGATTTTTTAAAAATACTTACATGATAAAAAGAAAAACAGGAGAAAGATAAAAGCTGTAACAACTATTCTTCTGTCAACTGCAGATGCTAATCCAAGATCACCACAGAATTTTTATCGCAGCACTGATCTCGCCATTAAGTTGTCATCATATGGAAGGGATATAAATTATATCAGATGCAAAGATAATTGGGAAGATGAATAAATGGCTGAAGCTTTTCCCATGAAAAAGAACACACACAATGCAGACACACCCTTTCGCAAAAACACGCTAATTCGCAGAATAAAAGGGAGCTGAAGAAGTCAGAATGCCCTCAGCTCAGGAATGCCAAGAATCCCCGGAGGAATGCGTGCGGGCAGCCGGCTGCGACGCTCCCGACGCACCGCCATCTGGGCGACCCCCGGCCCGCCCCCCCCGGGGCTCCCCCCCAGCTCGGACACCGCGAGTTCACCTGAAAGCAGAGGCCGGCAGCAACACCTCCAGCCGAGGCGCGGCCACCACCGCGCCGGGAAAGCCCCGGCCAGTACACGCACGCGGGGAGAAGACCCCCGTTCTTTACAGCCACGAGAGAAAACCGAACAATATTCAGGTCTTATCGGAGTCTTCTTTTTTCCCCCGGCAACTCCCTCTCCCCTCGCCGCCGCTCAGCACGCCCGCCCCAGGGGCGGCACCGCGGCCACTCTCCAGCGCAGCCCTTGGGAGTGCTCGGGGCAAGGCCTGTCCCGGCACGGCCGGCGCTCCGCCAGCCTCCCCGCGCGTTACCAGCTGGTCGTGCAGGGCGACCCGTGCTCTTCTCTCCCCACGCCCGGGAGAACTCGGCGTGCTCGGCCTTTGGAAAGGAACGTGTTTAACGAAGGGAAATGAGGGAGAAAAGTCAGCGACCCACGGCGACTCAACGCTGGGAACCACCTCCACAGCCGCGGCGTCCCGCCTCGGGCGGCAGCACACGGCGACGTCCCCGACGCCCACCACGCTCCGCTCAGGTCGCGCCACAGCCCTGTGCCCCGCCCGGCCCCGGCCATCTCGGCAGGGAAGAGTGGGCGACGCGGTGCTTCCTCCCCGCCCCCGCCGCCTCAGCTCCCAGACCTCCCGTCGCAAGCGGCCGCCGCCGCCGCTCTCCTCACCCGTCCCGAGCCGCCTCGCCCGCTGAGAGGGATCTCCGTCAACTTCGTTCCGCCGCCAGAGCTGAGCGCGGACCGCCCGCCCCCTCCAGCGGGCCCTGACGGGGAGGAGCCAGGCAGGAGGGGGTGGGGGGGCGCTCCCTCAGGTGAGCGAGGGGCTTCCTTGCGCGCGCGCGGCAGTTTCCCGCCTGTCCCAGCCCCGCCCGCGGCCGTTGGCCTTCCTGAGGGGGAGCGCGGCGCGCGGCGGCTCCTCAGTCTGGAGCTGCGCCCCCCCCCGCCGGCAGACGCCTATAAACCGTAAACAGAGGGGAAAATCACCCAACTCCTCTTTTGTTCAGGCCGCGGGAAACGGTGCCAGGGCAAAAGTGGGTTGGATAAAACAATCCTCTGCAAAAGAAACCCAGCCCCGGGCCCAGGTACTGTCAGCCCGATGCTGCTTGACAGTCAGGCTTGTTTTCCCTCGCGAGTGCGGCCCGTCGGTGTGTGGAGGAGGCTGGCGAAGCTCCTGCTGCGACGGGGAAGAGCTGAGGCAGCACAAGGGCAGGGCAGGGCAGGCGCGGTTTTGGACGTGTGGTAGAGGTAGAGAGGGAAGGAGTGAGGAGCTGGGCCACGGCATGCAGTCTGGAGCAAACAGGGCAGTGTGCCTGTACTGCTCGGAGAACAGTATCACGAGCACCTCTGGGCACACATCTTCAGCGTTTTGGATAGTTTTCGCAAGGTCTTCAGCTAGACTGGAAATACCACAACAGAGCGCTTGCAGATTTCCAGAATGTTCTACATATATAGTGAGAACTGAAGTACTGCTATCCTGCAGCATGTCTCTATCCCCTGATCCATGTGCAAAGGAAAGCTAGGTACTAAGGACTTGTGGTTTATAAGTGTCATACAAAAAAAAATAGAGTGGCTATAACCACAAGAATCAGGCCTCAGTTAATTTCTTCCACCCTCAGAAATTTGTCCTCAAGATTTGAACCACCTGAAACAAGCAGCATTGTCAGAAAGAAAGGTTACAGTGAATATACAGGGGAAAAAAAAATATGATAGATCCATGTCTAAAACACAGAAAAAAATCAATATATAAGCCATGAAAGCCACTTACAGAGTTGTTCTACAGGAGTATGGATAGGCTGCATCCTCTTTTCAAATCCAGCTGTGCTAGAGATCACTGCTCAAATTTCTATCAGCTGCTCTGCTACCTACTGTCAAAACAAGGCTAGTTAGCAAACACTAGTGCATGGAATTGAATTGTATATAATTGTATGGAATTTCTGTGGAGAATGCCCCTGTCTTAATTAGGATGTATAAAACAAAAGAGGTTGAACCAGAAAAGTAACTGTTCCCAGTACAACATCAATACTGGCACTTCTGGGGCACTATATCCAGTTTTAGGTTCTGTGCTTGGGGGAGAAAAAAAACAAACAAAAAAAACGAGTTCACACAAATCTACAAAACATCAGAAAATTAAATGCATTCTGAGAATTTGAAAAGACATGTATCTCGGTAGTATTCCAAGTCAATGTTTCATAAGGATGTATTGATAGCTGCAAGAAACAGTCAAAAGCAAAACAGGGAGACAGAGAAGTAGTGACTGACAGTAATAGCTTGTGATAAAATACTATACTGATGGTTAATCAGTAGGAAGAACTGTAAACTGTGGGAACTGGACAAATTATAAACTGTTCTCAAGAAGCAGCTAGTGAGGTGTTTGCAGACATCTAACTTCTCATTTGATGAAAGGGTGGATATATTAGGTGTGGCAGGGGCTATATAGACTTGTGCTGTGGAAAAATACACCTCTACATAATGAACTAAATTAATTCTCCCTCAAAATGATTGTTGAGAGGAAAGCCATAGATGTAGAGATTTTTCTGCCCTTGGTATGAAGTTGACTTGTCAGAAAAATGCTCATGAGGCAGAACAGCCTAAACTTGTGTTGCCGTGTTGATATTTTACATACTTTGCCATTTTCTTTTCATATACATTTTTTCACATAATCAGAGATCCATGACTAATCTTGGAGATGTTTAAGTAAAAGATTTATATAGTTTGCTTAGCTCCTTTCACTGTAGTTTTCAGAAAACACACTAAGTTCATCCCCCACCTTCTGGAACTGGTAAAACTGAGAAACAAGGAATGGGAAAGAAACAAAGTAAATAAACTTTTTTCTTTTTCTTTTCCTCAGAGTTACATGAGCTATGTGGCAAAGTTTTCAGTTCAACTCACAGACACACGTGTATATGGCTGTATTTTATTACAATTAAAGTGTAAAGAAATATGCTGACTGTTTGGCCTCGCATTGTAGTTTTGTAATGTGTGTAGGAATTGAACTTAATAGAAAACAAAATGCTTCATTAAAGGAGTGTATGCACATAAAATTTTCAGATTATTGTTAAAGAAGTGTATACACATAATTTTCAGATGATTGTTAGAGGTTAATTAGAACAGGTGTTAATGATATTATACAATAATACATTTCCATTGTATTTAGAAAAAAACATTCATTTCTTGCTTAAACAGGCTATGATGGTTACTAGGTATTATTATATAGTCTATAATTATTGTTTTTCCATGATGTATTACCTATCAGGTAACAGCTCAGGAGACAATTCAATTGATATCTGGCATGTTCAGCATTAAACTGCTTAGAAAACTGTTCTCTTGTTCTGTACTAAGTTTCAGAAAAAAATGTTTCATATGATAATTAGGCCAAGCCATTTTTTTTTCTTTATTTTTTTGGATTGAAGACAAAAAAAAAAAAAAAAAAGGAGAGAGCAAAGAAGGTGGGACCAGCACAATTGCTAAAACTCATACTGTGAGCATCCCAGACCGAAAAGGAGAGCTTTGACTGGATTTTGATTCAAAGCTCTATCCTATATTCCTTGAGCCTTTGAGGGAAGTTTAATTTGAACTTTGACATTTTCATTAAAACTGTAGTTTAAATCAAATGTTTTGTCAAACAGTTTCTTACAGATCTTTGGCATATACTGAACATGAGTTTTAGAAGTACTTGGTGTAATAATGCTACAGACATTAAAGCTTTGTTCACTAAGAGCCATAGTCCAGCCAGACTACTGCAAAAGTACAAGGTTGTCCAATGAGGTAAGAATTTTTTGAAGGAATATATACAGACACAGCAATAAGCTAAAATTGCACTGAAGAGTTAGGTCATACACAGAATATCCTCTCAGTGCAGGCTACCATTTCCTTTCCCACCCTTCATCCACTTACTTTTCTCTTCCTCTACTTTAAATGAAGGCTTTGGTCCTTGTTTACAAAACAGGCTGGACACTATGATTAATGTCTCTCTGTCCAGGCAGCATATTATCAGGCAGTTGTGAAATACAATACAAAATGGAGTATGCAGCTAAAGCAAAAACAAACAGTAATGCCCTAACAGCTTGTGCTGAAGATTAATTCCAGCTGCTAGCTACTCCAGCATACCTCGGGTACTGAATAGCACTCCCTAAATCCGTATCTCCTTTTGCATTGAGCCAGACTGTATTGAAAGCTTGGTTTAATAGTGCTGTGCTTGGCTCTTAGCAAGACACGTTTCTCTCTCTATATTCAACTACACATCGAACTGAATTTTGATACTTTATTATAGTCCTCTGATTTCCTTGCAGGAGTCACAGTGGAAAGGGAAAAAAAAAGAGCCTTTCTCACATTACTTTGAAACATTGCTTCTGACTCATCTTTTACAATAGATATTGCAAATGTTCTCAAATTATTAGAAAAGACTAGGTGTCTGTTGCTTAAGAAATAACAAAATTATCCCAGTTATTTCTGTATCCAGTAAGGTATCAAATAGACATTTTTATCTATTTCTTATTTCAAAAAACACATTCTTCAAAATTCAGGTCTTTGTTCTAGTATCTACTGTTATTTTCACTGACTTGTATTCTCAAAACATTTTATCCTAAACAGAATGTTTACAGAGTTGATTCTAAAATTTTATCTGTAAAATTGTATCTGTATTGCAACCATTTTAACAAGCTTAACAAAGCACTTTTTTGCTATATGAGCATGAGAAGGTACCCTTTTATAAAAATCAGGCCACTTTGGCTATCACAGAACACCAAGGAACAATTCTATTTTAAAGATAAAATCTACTGTGGTGTAAATTTACTTTCAGAGGAGGATTTGGGTTATTTGAAGAAATTTAATTTTACACTCTTACCAGATGCTTTTTTAATATATGACCTCTGTTTTTACCTTGAAAGATAACTAACCAGAAAGGGACGCCCTTCATTTTCCTCATTTCTTATTTTTTCCCCTCTTTTCATAGTGGCCTTCCTTCCTTTCCTTCCTTTTCTTCCTTTCCTTCTCTCTGCTTTTTCTTTTTGAGGGTAGACCCTGTCTTTTTCATTTGTCATGTCTTGTTCTCCCATTTCTCAAATCTCCCATATACAGCTGTCAAACACACAGGGTACTGCTGATGCAGCCCAGAGCACTGGGTTCCCTCTGTCTCTAACCCAAGCATGCAATGTGGAGAGGTATGTAACAATATTCTAAAAAACTCTGAACAATCCCAGCCATTAGGGTAGCTATTCAAGAACTTATTTACATTGCAGGAGAATAAGATGTGGTAAATAAAATTTATAAAATGACAGTTGAAATTGTAGAACAAGATTAATATTTTCAGATGTCTTCAACAGGGGAAAATACCTGTTTCTATTTTATGTTAGCTAGTCCATGGTAAGGAAAAAAAATTAGGAGATGAAGATTCAAACTATAATTTGTCTTCTGTATAATTTAATTTCATTTTAGTTAGCTCAAGTTTACAAATACTCTTCCTACTGAATATAAGAATGTACAATTATTAATCTTACTTATGTACATAGAAATCAAGAGTGAAATACAACATTCAAAGGTGCAAGGTGAAATGAAGATACCATTGACTTTAAAAGCTGTTGAGAAAATAAAACACAAAGTTTGATCACACATAGTAAGATAGCTTCAACATTAATTCAACAAATAACGTATAGTCTAGTAATTAAGTGAATAATTACTACTGATATGAACTTCAGTTAAAGATTTTGGACACTGTTCTATATTTGGCCACCACAAGCCTTTCTGACCTCCCATTCTTCTCCTTGGACAGCTTTTGGCTATATCCACATTTATTTCTTCACCTTAATGACACAGTCTTGCTCCCACTAGCCTTACTCAAGTAATCCTAGCAGTGACAAAAGAAGTTTTTCCAAGATGAGCCTGCAGAAATCCTGGGTGCTACCAAGTGCATCTACATTAACGTTCCAGAAATCACTGTAACTGTTACCTGCTCTGCTGTGGTCTGTGTAGCTCCTCTTGGTCAAGACCAGCCTGCTAGGATTCAGCTGTGCCCACACTGCAGGAACAAACTGGGGTTTTGGGAGTAGCAATGACAAAGTCTCTGTTTTGCACAAATATGTAAAGTTAGTAATCTGTTGGCATTGTCAATGTATTTATTTGAAGAAAGCTTAAAGGGCACATTATTTCAGTCATTGCAAATGTAAACATTGATTAATTTATCACAGAAATAGTAATAGTGGTAAATTAAATGGCTCATATACTCTTTATGCATGTAGCTCTTAAGAACTACTGCTCTTACTTATTTTATAATAACAGACTCAGCATTGGGACTTTGTACAATGCGTTGTAGAGCTCCATGCAGATATAGATCCATACCAAAAAATGCTTTGCAATCTAAGTAGACAAAAGATTTAATCCCAAAAATGAACACAGAATGTGCTGTGCTGAAACCAAAAACAGGTATCATGGCAAGATAATGCAGAGACTTCCTGAGTAATTTAACAATTCTGAAATAACATGCAAATGTGTAATGTTAAGCAAATGAAGCTTTTTAAATGTATTTAAAGTTTAACCTAACATAAATATTTGCAAAATTAAGGTCTAAATTCTTAAGATTGGCATCCAAAGATTATGTCCTGGACACAGAATGTATTCTGTCTCTGAAATATTAATTTCAAATCTTGTTTTATCTTTAAGATTACCTTGCCCTAGGGTATGCAGGCAATTTAACACGTATCTAGTGTACCAAGGAGGACAGCACATAAGAACAAAATTAATATTTTAATGTTTAAAATGTACTGTTTATTAAAAATATAGCAGGACAAAGTTGCATTTAGTTTAATGTATCAATTAATCCTTTTAGTCACATGAAGATTTGCAGACATTATATCTTATATGCAGTTTTCTTAAAAATGTGTTTGTGTCTGTGATGAGAACTAAGGCCAATATCCAGTAAAGAATTTAGGCTCCTAATTGCCACTGAAATCAAATTATTTCAACAGAGAGGTAAAATGTTAAATATATTGTTGGGTTTAGACCCAGGTAACTTTTTGAACAGAGATAAAATCATCACTATCCCGTGTAAAAATTATCTCTTTTTTTCTTACAGGCATGCATGGATATCTAAAGTCTAAAGCAGGATCCTCTAAGGTAGTTTTGGTGTGTTGGCCAGCATCCCTTTTTGCTGTTGTGCAATCGCACCACCTGGTGGCTACAGTTATTGCAACCGTTCTGCTCCTGTGACAGACCTGCAGCTGAGTAGCTTGGAACTAAAGACCAGGAAAAAAAGTATTACGTTTACTATTCTTAAGATTGCTTTTATCTCTAGCCACTTTTCTTAATCAGGTGAGGTAATATAATTTAAATAGTTTTGTGAAACAATATTTTAGAAGAGATATAAACACTTCAGTAATGTCCTGTATAAGAAACTTTAAGGATTGACTTACAAAGATACTGATCTTCCTGCTTTAAAGGTAAAGCATTGCTCCCAATTCACCTGCAGTATCTTAACTACTGATGCTCTGAAGACTTAAAAAAATATTTGTATCTTTTCAAATTTAAGCAAGACCCAGAAAGGCAGGTTTTAGTGAACTGGAATTTCCAACATTTATAGGTTTGTTTTGTCAGGACTGATGTAGAAAACTGCTTAAACATGTGCTTAACTTAAAATCCCTTCTTCAATCCTGCTGATTTAAGTATGACATAAACAGTTATTCAAAATGAAACATGGAAAACTGTTTAGGGCTGAACATCGCACTTGGAGACCGAAGCAGGGGAAAGAAAGGGAAAATGAATGAGCGATATGGAAATCCTTTGATTTTCCTTTTTCAAAGGGTAAAAAAAAAAAAAAAGGTAGAAAATAGACATGCAACTTTTTTTACTCATTTGGAAGGGTGGAAACCATAGCAGAATAAAGTCAACTGTCTCCTAACTGAAAAAATATATCCAATATGTATTTTAAAAAGTAAGTGAACAACAAAAGAAAGACTTTTAACCTATAAAGAAAGTTACACTGCAATAACAACAAATTATATTACCACAGTGTGAGATTCACCATGTCAGGAGCCAGTAGAAGAGTCTGCATGAAATTGAGAGGTTGCTGAAAGGAAGTAGTGGATTAAGATCTCAGAGGGACACTACCCTGTCTCTCCTCACTTTGAGGCTCTAGGAAGGAATTGTGTGCTTTATGGGAACTGCTAACCAAAACCCAAAATCAAGCATGACATAAATGTTTATGCAATAGAATATACATGCATATAATAAGCATTTAATGGAGAATTAAATTTTTAAAAATTTTCAGTTCCACTTGTGAACTTAGGACTTGTTTTGCACAACTCTTACAAAATGTATTCTGAGAACTAAAACCAAGAACAAACAAACAAATGAAACAAACTCAGGGGAACTAGTTCATCTTGGCCTTTACTATGGTTATTCCTTGCTTTCTTTTGAAAATATCAAACACTGTCTTGTATGGGTTTCCATTTCAGATTCCATCTGTTGTCTTAAGAGAAGTTTACAGCCTAATTATGAGTCAGCCCAGAATACTTAAGGTATTTTAAATCCTCAAATATAGAGGCTTCAGTGATGAAACGGGTTCTGTCTTTGGCACTCATGCGAAGTCTGCTCATCTTTACTGGGGCTTAAAGCACTCACAGAGGTATGTTTATATAGATTTGACACCATGCTGATAAAGTCAACTGATGCTCCAGTTTTCAGTTAGTACTATTTTCTTTAGGTAGAAAGCTTTTCCTGGTTAGATAGTGTTTTGTAACTGTAGAGGGTGCTCTTAAAATACTGGTGATGGTAGTAATATATGGCAATCAGTTTCTTTTTATGTGAAGCTTATGAATGTTAGGATGTTTATATTTAGCAAAGAAAGTTGTTGTACAGCTAGTGTGTTTTATTTTGGATATGGGCAAGAGTCACTATCCCTATTTGTATCCAAATACATCCCTGGAAACTTTTCTGGATTTGTTTTATTTTTGCAAGTATGTTTCTGACAAACAGTGATAGTATCTTCTGAGAAAACTATTGATGCTATCTAAAACAAGTGGAAAGAAATACTAAATAGAATGTATTTTTATTTGCAAGGTTATTGAGAGTTGGATAAGAGCTTATTGTTCCAAAGTAATTTAAATATTTGCAAAAAATCTTTAGTTAAATGAAGTTGATGCTCTTACATTGTGCTATTTGGAATTCTGTTCATCAGGATTTAACATTATTTTAATTTGGTTTGTCTGTAGTTTGGTTGATTGCTCCACCGTACTCCCAAGCGATCTGTTTTTTATACTTCTCTAACTAAATTAGCAGGGGGGAAAAATTCTAGATACATTAGACTAAATCAAACTTTGTCCTGCTGTATTTTTCCCTCAACCATACAACATATGTATAATTTTTAACATAAAGTTATGTGTTCCCCTCCATACATCCAATAAATTGAGTTAATTCTGTATGCTTTAAAAATGTTACCTCTTTCCATAGATGGTAGAGTCTATAAACCTCAGAAGAATAAGAATTTTATTTTAATCAGAACCGCAATAAGCTCATTTTAGAGCAGTGTGAGGAGAGTTAACGTTTATGAGGTCAGGATCTTTCCTGTGAGATCATGACTAGGCTACGGGCTTATGCCAGCAGTGCTCTGTCGGTCCTGGATGTGATGAGGTGTGATCTTTGACATGACTCTGTCAAAAAAGCCTATACCATAACATATACTTACAACAGCAAAACTACACTTTCTCTTGAATAGGTTGTTGCACTGGGGGGTTAATGAAACACATGCTGCAGAAGCACAATTCTCCCAATCTAACTTTTCCTAACGACAATTACTTTGCTTTTTATACTGGATTTGCATACTTATCCTGAGAAGGTACTCTTAGACATAAACTCAGATAATAAAACTTTCACCAGTGGTCACTCATTTGAGATCCAGACATCATATAAGATTAACCCTATTTCAGATCAGGTCTACAGAACATATTTATTATATATTAGAGTGTCACAGTGGCTGTGACTCTTCATTGCACTTTTGTAACAGCTCTACTGTAGGCCCAGTTTAGAGCATAGAAGTCAGTGCAGCTTGTTCTGTCTGGGGAAGCCCTCTGAGCTTTTTTGGCTAACTTCAGCAGCATCTATTCTAGGGAGCCTGCCAAGATCACTACACTAGGAAACCTTTTAAGCATAGTCCAAGCTTAACAGATGTTTGCTGGCTTCTAATGAGATGAATTTGGTCTGTTTCAATCTCCAGTTTCTGCATCAAATTCATCACTCTATCAGCTTGCAGGTTAGGGCATGTCTCTTAATGTGTTTGTACACTGTATGATACTAAGGGGACTTCATGTTACCTAGGGCTGTGACTGCAGGCTTGCCATGTGAATAGTCAAATGAAATTCTCTCTTTGTGAGGGCTGGCAAAATTAACTATCCCCACACATCAGGCACATCTCTTCAATAGAAGAAATGATACTGCCTGAGCTCCAATGGTGGAAATATTTCTGATGTGAGTCATGTAACAGGAACACAAGATAGGTCAAAGACAAGGTGTTTGTCTCATACGGCTTTCCTTCTCAAGATTTAGTATTAAGTAGTAATTTGAACAAACGAAAACCTAAGTCATCCTCAACCTTCATGAGTACACTAAAGATAAATAGGCATGCTTAATTCTCTTTCTATCACAGTATTTCTGATGTGCAGTGTTTTCATTTCCATAGGAGAAACTGAAAGTGTCTCACCTAAGCATCCCTTATATTGAGGTTCTTAAAATGCAAAATTAGAAAAGCAAATTTAATACCCATGATAAGAGCCAAGACTTGAACACAGACTTCCTCTGATCACTAATCCTCTATTCAGTGAGCTATTAGATAAAACAGATAATACTTTTCCTCCCCTATTTTGTAAGAAAACACTGGCATAACTTCCAAATCCTAGGTGAGTTCGGAAATGTATTTTGGAGATGTTCATGTTTCTACAGCTCACATTAAAGGACCAGAATGTCAGAAACAGATGGAACTCAAGACCCATCACCCTTTAGTCTTTAGTAATGGTCAGTCTGGGTGTAACCTATCAACTTTGGCCGTTTCTGTGGTGGACCCTCTTTCACCCAAGTGTGGAAAGAGTCCGTGTACTTCATTCTGGGCTGGAGATTGCACTAGGCAGCAAAGCATGACAGTACCAAAACCTCTAACCTGTAGCCACGTACAAAAATTACCCAATGCATTCTAAATTGAATCCACCTTTACTGATTCACTTTTTAAAACACATTCTACAATTCTAAAAAATCTTAAAAGCTCGGAAAAAAATCTTGCATTGTACAGTACTTGCATATTTCAGCAGTGAAAGCTGTAAACGATGCACATGTTGGTATGACAATAAGACAAATGGAAGCTTTCATTGGGAAAATGCAAACCAGAAGACAGATAGCTTGTTTTGCTTTAAGCAAAGCATGAATGCAAACATCTAAACTGGAGAAACTCCCCTTTCCTTCTGTGGCCCCTCTGAGCCATTACATTAATTACTTGGAACTATTTACCTACTTCCCTTCATTTAGGCCCCAGGTGCAGGCACTCTGGATACTGAAAATTATTTTAATTCTTTTCAATAGAGCGAAAAAACAATATATGGAAACACTCATCTTTTCCTTTCTGAAATCAGGAATGTGAGGAGAGATGGCATCCTAACATATTTTTTGTGCTTGCCTGTTTTTTAACACCCTATAACAAAACATGAGGTAGGTGAGTGGGTGATGTTTCTTTTTCAGAGTGCAATGAAAATATTTGTTTAGTTTTGTTGCAATAGCAGGGGCAGCTGGCAGTGTTTGCACTTATGTGTCTTCTAACACTTCACTGAAGAGATACACCTAATCTTTGTAGAAAGACAAATATCTCATTTTGCAAATGTGCTGACCTGTGCTTATGCAGTGGCTCTGTCAGCCTTCTTTTGTGATCAGAACGAATGTTAGCCTGTCTTTCAAACATGTCCTTAAAGTATGACCAGCCAGGTCCAGGCATGCACTTTTCCATATGTGAAGCTAGAGAATTAATGGAGGAAGGCATTAAATGTTTAGAAAATAATCAATGACATTAGAAAATTAAAAAAAAAAAAAAAATCACAGCAGAGGCTCAAAACCTAAATTTCTAAATTAGCAGCAAAGACCAGTCTCTATCTGCAATTCTTTTTGGCAAGATAACCATGTCTCAAAGCTCTTGCTTAAAGTTTCATTTCCAACTTCCCTCTGGGGGAAAAATGAATTAAAACTTTCCTTGTGTTCTTACTGAGAAGTTCTGCTGATTATTATTTTGGAATACAAGCAACAGACCATGGGACACTGGCTGTATAGGTATCTTTAAATAATGATTAACAAAATCTATGGCTATTTGCACAAAGTGTATTCAACTTCTCTCTTCCCAATAAAGGATATCAGTCAATCCCAGGGTAGCCCAGGTCATCAAGGGGTGGCTACTGAGTCTGGCTCCCCCTGTCACAGCTGCCTGGCAGCGGGCCCACCCTCAGGAACAGCCAGCTGGCTCTGCTGTGCATTTCAGCTTCCTCCAAGTTTGCATGTGGACCTGTGAAGCAGCTGAGTTTATTTTGCCCGATCAGCTTATTTGTTGTAAATCCAGAGAGTTTTCCCATTGCCATGACTGCTGCTGATGCAGTCAGTTTGCACTTGGAGTTTTCAGCATGGCCTCCCTGCTCTGTCATTTCTGCTGGTCTGCACTGACTCTTCAGAAGACCAGATCTGTTTCACAGATTTTGTTAGTTTTCAAGTCAGTTCAGCGTTTCGCTGTTTTGATCCTACTGCTTGTCCAGATGCACACGTTTCTTTTCTCAAAACACTAGCTTCTGGCCCCAGACTCAGACTATGAGAAAGATGAACCCTTCCTCTACTTTCTCTTATATTCCAACTACATACCTGTGAAATTATACAAGCTGCTAGGGTGACCCTTCATTTAGAAGATCTCGGTGGAGCATAGACACCTGTGTTCATTGTTAATGATATGTATCAAACTTTAGTCAGAAATATACCTCCCTTGTAAAACTGACCAATAACAATGCAAGCAAAACCAGCCTGTTCTATGTTCCATCTTCTGATGTCAAAAGAAGGGTATAAGTAGCATCTGCCATGGAAACAAAACTTTGAATTCTAGGGTGTAAAGCCATCATTCAAGGATTTTCAGAGGCAATCTTAGGAGTAATTCACTGTTAAAAGTAGGAGAGTACCCTCAGAATAAAAAGATTATTTCCCAGTACATTTGTCTTTCTTTAAAAATATGATGTATGCCCAAAGCATGCAGAAACTTTATTCCCAACTAATAATCAAGTATTTTTCTGGAAAAGAAACTTATTTGGCCTGGTGAAAATAATAAGATACTGTAATTCATTTAACTATTTAGTCATATTTTTAATTTCATTAGATTAATTAGTATCCTGTTGCATTTAGTTACCTAGATGAGGGAGAGAGATATTTTGTAAACCCCCATTTTATTATCTGAGTTTTTATATTGTATGCTGTCTTCTTATTCAATAGGACAGCACTAAAAACATTTGTAATGATATTCATTGCTTTTCATAACCTCATGATTTTAGTTATTTAGAGTCTCGGATCAGCAGCACGAGTTTTCACAAATTTTTCCTATGAAAGTCTCCCCAAATTATT